TCGCGACCAGCTTCTGTTCGGCTCGTTCGTTAAGAAACGAACACAAACAGTGACTACACGAAAAATTTCGAACACGGGCTTATTTAAAAAAAACTAAATTTCAAACGAACCGACCACGAACACAAGCTTTGTTCGTTTGTGTTTGATTTATTTACACCCCTATATATTAGAAATAATAGTTTATACCTATTAGATTTCATCAATGATAGGAAATCGAACAAATATAAATATAAAAAGACAAATATTTCTTAATCTTATTAGCTTACATAATATATGACAAAAGGTACCATTTATTATTTTTAATAATTAAAAATAAAATAAAGTATAAAATAAATATCAACATTAAATAAATTTTTAAATAAGTATAGCTCCAAAAGTATATTTATCATAAATATTTAAATCTTTAGAACTTTCCACGTAAGCACAATACATGCAAATATAATCATTAAATTTTAATTTTCAATATCAACCCTAAACAATTTTCCAAATTTCACATTTTGTCAAATTTAATATATTTTTTATTTCTTTTTTTTTTTTCCGCCCAATAGTTATATTTTTCTATATCAAACTCTTATATTTTACTTTTACATTAGTATCACCCAAATTTTTTATATTACATAAACAATATCATTATTTTATTATGAGGTGAAAAAGTCTTAGGGTCTGTTTGGGGCAGCTTGCTTAGTGCGGTGATGTTTTGAAAACGCATCTGACCTGTTTGAGTAACATACGTTTTGACAGCTTGTTCATTTTCAAAAAACTGAAAACAGCGTTTTCACACCGCGCTTGTCACACCACACTTGTCTAGGTGCGGTGACATCATTTTAGCTGCGGTCTGACTTTTAAAAAAAAAATAAAAATTCGTAGTAGCCACGGCACCTAGCTTATCGGTGGATTATCTTTAATCAGCTTATCAACAGATTATTCAATAAGCTATGCCCCAAACAGACCCTTATTGATGCATAGAATTTCTATGTATTTATATATCTAACAGTTAGATTTTATTTTTTTATATTTTAATGATAAAAATTTTTCATATAACATAAAAATATATAGCTATTTTTTTTAAAAAAAAGGTGATAGTTGTTATTGTACGATAAAGATGTTATTGGCGTGAAATTCCATGGACCAAATGATTCAGAGCGCCACATGTCAACAGTCAAATTTCTACGAGAATAATTAAAGGTACAGGTGTCGATATGGGTCGGGTTTGGGTATGACTTAAAAATAACCTGACTTAAATCGGGTCAACCCAAACCTAACCCAAATTCTCTGACAAGAACCCGACTTGAAAAATATTCAGGTCAATCTGAAATCATATTTTTTGATTGAGTTCAAGTTGTGTTGGCGTGTCGGATCAATTTTTGATACCTAAGGATGTCAACTTCGGTCGGCGGGACGAGTTTGGTCCGACCAAAAAAATGCCTTGACCCGAGGCCCACCTGAACCTGAGCCAAATAAAAACAGGTTAAATTCTCTGACCCAAATCCGAACCCAGATTTTTCGAGTCGTGTGTCTGGCTAATCTTTGACACCTCTAGTTAAAGATTAAGCAAGTAGCTAACCATAGGCCAAACTATTTAGATGACCACCAACCCAATAATCGCCTAGATAGAGGTCGATCGACTCCAAGACAACCCGTGAGAGACCCACCAACCAAATGACCCCTAATCAATTAATCGATTGCCAGGGGCGAATTTGTCATTTCTTAATATTTCTAGTCCCCTATAAACAGAAGGATATTAAATACATAAAAAGCTATTGAAAACATACAGTAAAAAAAGCTTCATCTCTCACATATTTTTGTACATTTCTCTATCCTTTTCACACTCTTATCATATTACATAATGACCCAAAAAGTATTACAACTAGCCTCAAAATTTGACCTACTAAACATATAATTTTTGCATAACCAATCATTTTATTTTTAGTGTAGTACTAAACTCATGACTTGATTGCTTGCTTTTTCTAAGGCATATTACCCAATATTCGCCAAGGTGAAGATTTATTATGGTATGACTCATATACCATATTGTGGCAGACGCTGGATCGAAGCGGAGCGGAAGAATCTGTCCAAATTGGGAAGTTACGTAGGTTGGGGTGCGGGGGCAAAGCCCCGCGGTATGGTACATGGGTCATGTTGTAATTACATATTGTGCATAGGGTTTACTCCTAGGGTTATAAATAGGTCTGTTAGTAACCCCAGAAGACATCCTCTATTCTGTATTCTCTTTTCTGAATAGTGAAAAGAAACTCGTCACTCTGCTCCCGAGGACGTAGACATCTTTGCCGAACCTCGTTAAATCTCTGTGCTCTTCTGGATTTGTGTCGATTACTGTTTTCTTCGCCCTAATTTTCTCAACAATAACAAATAAAACAAAGAAAACATCCCATTCTTGGTGAATATTTAGCAAATCCATTCATCCCAAGCGTTTTGAACTTCAGTTGGTAATTTGCCCATTGATTTCTCACGACTCAAGGATCTGAGGCAAGAACAACTAAATGCAAATTACCAAAGAAACTTCCCACTAAATAGTTTGCCAGGAGTTGGGATGCCAACCACCCATTGGAGAAGCTTTCCATAAACATAATAAAGCTAAGAACCACTGTCGCCAAATCCACCAACAAGGGAAGAAACGCCAAATTCTCAAGGAATGTCTTTGCATTTGAAACATTTTTACCCATAGCACCCATAGCAGAAGAAAAGGATATTTAAAGCATCCTAACAGCAACAATTCTGCTTGTTCATAGCAGTTAAAAAAGTTTAAAGAAACAAGCAGGGAATCCAATATGTGAAATTGAAATATTCTATGGTTAACTCTACTTCAATGAAGGATATCAATTCTTTTTGTTTCTGTCGTCCATATAATGGTTTAAATGATATTGATATCGTAACACGCTCTTATCAGCTTGATAAGAATGGTGGATGAATCTCTTATGACAGAGCATATGCTCGTGACGAATACTTGCGCCTCCCAATGACACATTACTCTGTGTTTCGTGGCATCATCATGTCACTTAGCACCATGTCGAAGGTGATTCACACTTACACTTCCCGCCTTTGTGTGCTTCCGTGCATAGCACCCTGAACGTGTTCATGACTTCTGCACTTACATGTGTTGCACTTGGATTTGTGTTTCTCGTACACTTATCCCTTGCTTTCACATATTATGTGAACAGATAGTTCGTCGCCGAGCCAATCCGTTGTGTAATTGCCTCCAACGGGAGTAACATCCTTACACTTCCTATGGCATCGCTCCGAACCGTCGTAGGCACCCTTCCGGGTCACTACCTCCACGACACTCCTTTCTCATTTGTACATATTTCCCTTTATATTGAAAGTTTTCAAAATAAAATTAGTTGCTCTCTACGTAACATAAGATAGGTTTGATCAAATTATCATAAATATCGTAATTCTTAAAACTATTTTAAAATAAACATGAAAAGGAAAAAAAATTAGTTATCCAAAATATACACTCTTATAAAAATATATTTAGATATTCTATTAATTTTGACAGTAATATCATTATCATTAATTATTTTAAAAATTAGTTATTCCCATGATATTAATATATATGTTGTTAAAATTTCTAATTGCAAGCCTTTAAGCTCCATAATATTAATCATCATTCAATCTTTTTTTTTTTTTTTTTTTTTTCATTGAGATAATGAGAAAGTTTTCCTATGCATGTTATATATATACACGAAACATAATAGTTAAAATGATCACAAAGATGACCCAATGTAATAGCCAACCCTCCTAAGGAATTGATCCAGATGAAGACTTGGTTCTACAGGATCTTTGACCATCTGGGTGGACACCCAATCAACTGGCCGGCCCATACCAACCAAGATTAGTCAATTGAGCTGAACTTGTCGACCCGAAGCCAACTAAGATCAATTGGCCAAGTCTGAAATCAGTTGAACAGCAAGCTTCCACATGTAAAGTACCATAAATATCTCAATATGAACCCCTTTAAATCACAGGCAAAAATGCATAGGTCGATGACACTCATTGTCTCCCTATCATTGATCTGGACGATCCAATACACATCATAATCCAAGAATGGTTATGGGACGCTTCTCTCATATTGTGCATCTCTTTTCTCATGAGTTCTCTTAACTAATTGATTTGTTGCATCATCAATGCCCTAGTGCAGCCCATCGTTCTCAATTTGATGGGAGGTCGGTATTGTGGTCAATTTGTATTTACCCATCACACTGGTATTACCCATCACAGTCAATCGTGGAAAATCGAATAACTTTTCTATCAATTATAATGAATATCTATAATAAATATTCAACAATGTCAAAATTTAACTCCTAATCAATTTTAATATGCCATTTAGTTTTGTGAGCTTTATATAATTAAAACAAAATTATAACAAATAGTTCAGAGGTTTTTCTTAAAAAATTGCCCAATTAAAAGAGTGAAACACATGATTGTGAAATGTTCCTTTCAAATAAGTCTAAAATTTAATTCTAAATTGATCGTGGGACAAAAAGCTGAAACAAACGCAACATAAATCTTGCTCGCGTCTTTACATCTTACGACTATGCAATTAGAGCTATCAAAACAGCTAGTTGTTAATGAACAACTCGTCAGCGGGCTGAGCATGAAAAAATTTGACTTCATCTTTCCCATTTCAGAGTTGTCATTGTTGGCTGCCCCCTAGGGCTGTAAAAAAAGCTCGTTGTTCGCGCACAGTTCGTGTTCGGTTTGCTAGGAAGTTTATGTTCGATTCGTTCGATAAGCAAAACAAGACGAACACGAATAATTTTTTTTCGTTCGGTTCGTTAAACGAACCAAACACGAACAGTGATGTGTTCGTTCGTGTTCGGTTCGTTATTGTTCGAAATATAAATAATTTAAAATAATTATATATAAAAAATATATGATATTTTAAAAATAATTATATATTATAAAAGTTTATCATCTTTAAATAATTAAACTTCTATAAATTATAATATATAATAAATTATTAATAAAAATAATAATATATTACTATTAATTATATAAATATAAATATTATAATATTGTAATTAATATATTATATTATATATTAAAATAAAGCCTAAACACGATTGACATGTGAGTTAAGTATATATAAATGATTCAGAATTAAGAAAATATATGTAAATTTTGAGGAATTTGAAAATTTACGTATTAAATGTGTAAATATATTAGGATTGAAGAAATATATAGGTTTATACTTGAATTTAGGAGCTAGGTATAGAATTGAATGGTATAAGCTAATAATCTGTATAGTTTATATATGAAATTTAAAGGTTTAAGTGTTATATATGTAAATGTATAAGTAATTGACTAATCTGTATACTTAGATTAGGTGTTATATATGTAAATTTTGAGGAATCTGTAGATGTCTTTCCAATTAGAAGCGTCATATCTGTAAATATGTTGAAATTAAACGAACTTTATATGGACGTTTTCTAATTTAGGTATAGAATTTATATATAATAAGCGTCATATCTGCGTACTTAATAATCTGTACAGTTTATATATGGAATTTAAAGATTTAAGTGTTATATATGTAAATGTACAAGTAATTAAGAAATCTGCATACTTAGTGCCCGTTTAGGACGCCTCCTTCGTGTTTGAAAAACAGGTTAACGTTGGATTTTTGTTAATACAGCACCAAGCCCGCGTTGGATTCACGCGTTAGGTGAAGATTTCCTTCCGTGCTTTCTCTGCTTCTCCCTCGCCCTCACCGTCGTCCCGACATCCTTCGTCGTTTACCTTCTTCCCGGTGAACCCTTCTCGACATACGATCCTCGGATCCCTCTTCTTCGGCAACCCTGCTCGACAGGTAAACCCTTATTCTTCGGCATTTCCTCTTCTTCTTCTTCTTCTTCGGTACTTACGGTTTGCAGGACGGCAACAACCGCCTTGAGATTGATTTCTTTGTTCGGTCCTCTCTTGAATTCTGTAATAGTTATTTTTTATTCCTATGCGTTGTTTTGTTTTTTCTGGTGGGTTATATTTTTTTTAGATATTTATCATTAATTTGTCTCTTAAATAAACTACTTCTTCTTGCAGATATTCATCATCTATTTACATATAATCGCTGCTGAGAACTCGCTCACATCACTTTCCTTACTAACGATATGGAGCGCGGGGCGGGGCTGAGCTTGCACGAGGCAGCGAATCAGGAAGATTTGGAAAACCAAATCTTGACTATCCTTAACCGGGATGTCATTGACAGAATTGTGGAAAACAAAAAACGAATTAGGAAGAATTTCGAGATGTTCCAACTGATTAATGACTACTTCAAGAAGAGTGCAGCTACGAGTGATTTCTTTACTGCTCTCGTGCTGAGTCTTAAGAAAGCTCGCGATTTTGTTGAACTCGCTGTCAAAAGTTTTGAAGCCGCCGACGAGAACGACCAACCTCCGGAAGTGAAGAAGAAGATGAGATACGCGAAAACTCTAGATGAGTTGAGGCATTATTTTTCCGTCGGCGGCACCGGTGAGTTTGAATCGGTATATCAGGAGCAATTGTTAATGCTCGGGGAGTTACAAAATCAAAAAGTGAAACAAGAAAAGAAGCTTAAATCAATCAAAATATGGAGAAAAGTTAGTTGCATAAGTTTTGTCTTGGTTTCTGCGGCATTTATCATCAGCGCTTTCGTAGTTGCCTTTAAAGCATCACCTCGTGTAGCGGTGGCAATGGCGGTTGCCTCTTCGATTCTCCTGGGATCCATTGGAGAGTGGGTTGATTCTATGTTAAAGGACTATGAGAACGCCCTTAAAGCTGAGATGAAACTAATTAGTATTATGCTTGATTTGACTTCTGTTGTGGGTACACATTTGGATAGCATTATAATTTCAGTGAAACAATTGGAAGATAATAGAAGATCGTTGCTTGATTATGCCGAAATTGTGTTCGAAGATAAATATCCCGTGAGGCTCGGTACTGAGGAGATGAGGAAGAAGATGACAAAGTTTATGAAAATCATTGAGGATTTGATGCAGCAGGCTGACCGGGGTAGCATGGACATAAGGAGGGCAAAGAGTGTGGTTTTGAATCAAATTATTCAACTGCCTAAATGATGATGTGGAAGCAATTTGTTAAGGATTTTTTTTTTCTTACTCCTAACGCTAATGTGCATGTTTCTCTTATTCCAAACTAGTTGTGAGCGGATAATTCTACATATTATTCAACTCTAAGGATTTTGGTTGTCCCACATATTTTTACTATAGAGAGCTTAGATTAGATCTTATAGCTCATCTTTATCATAAGCTTTATCCCAATTATTTTGGCATTGGCTAAGCTAAATTTAGGAGATTAAAAAGTGCATATTCTATGCATATATAAATTGTTGTATAAGCTTTGGTGTATTGATACCAAGTCATATGAATTGTCGGTCATCGAGGTTGCTATGTTTAATGAATCACATATGATTCAACTAATGTCGTTGTAGATTGATGATTTGGCAGTAGATTATATAATAGAGAAAAATGCCATATTTGAGGTGGAGCATAAATAATTTTTTGGTAGCTGATCACAATAACCTATTGTTCTTGGACCTCAAGAGGAGGTGGAACCACTATAACAAATGTTAGGTATGACTCATATACCAGATAAGGGACAGATGCTGGAGCGGAACGGAGCGAGACAGCGGAGCGGAGGTGAGCGAGCAAAGTGGAACGGAGTGGTACATCAGGGCTATATATATATATAT